GAAATGCTCATTAGCAGCTCTTAGGTGTGCACAGAGGGAAAAATCAGCTTTGTCATTCTCTCACTCAGTACTTGTTTGGGATGACATCAGCAATCCCTTCCTGATGCTTCTTGTATTTGTGATTCCCACATTTTCATTCTGGGAAGGCCATGATAGTGCTGCCTCTCCCATTAAAATGGTAGGAGCATTAAAGTCAAACGTGCTGCAAACCACACAGAAATGGGCCCAGATCATTTGTGTGTGGGGTGCTTTAGATTATTCTGCTGTGTTGGTCCGGCTGTTCTTTGGAAGAAGGGATGGAACCACTCAGCATGGTCACCTTCCTCAAGGTAGTGCACAGCTGGTGACACAATGGAGGAGACCTGGGCACTTTCAGTAGATGGAACGGATAAAACCAAGCTGTATTAATCTCATCTAGTAGGGTCTTGTGGTTAACCCCAGCTAGCAACTAAGCCCCACACAGCTGCTCCCTCACTACCTCTGGTGCAACGGGGAGAGAATTGGAAGGGTAAAAGTGAGACAACTTGTAAGCTGAGATAAAGACATTTTTACAGCTTCTGCTTTGTTTATTAAACTAAGGAATTCATTTACCACTTCCCACCTGCAGGCAGGAAAGCCATCCCCAGGAAAGCAGGGCTCCATCACACGGAACTTGGGAAGACAAGCACCATCACTCTGAATGTCTCCCTTTCCTCCTTCTTCCCCCTCATTTTATATGCTGAGCATGATGCCATGTGGTATCCCTTCGGTCAGTTTGGGTCAGCAGGCCTGGCTCTCCCTTGTCCCAATTTTTCATGTATCCCCAGCCTGTTCCTTGGAGTAAGGAAAACATCAACACTGTTTCCAGCACAAACCCAAAACACAACCCTGTACTAGCTGCTATGAAAAAAATGAACTCTCTTCCAGCCCAACCCAGCACACAAGGAGCAAAATCTCTTAAAACAGTACTGATCTCTTAGCTTTTTTACTCCCATTGTGACCATTTAGGATTGATTTCTTCAAGTGATAAACAGAACATAAGCAGGGATGCAGCCAACTCTGTGCTACTACATCTTCAAAAACAAGCCAATTATGGCACTTGCTGCTGTTGCCACTCCAGTATCAAGATTGCAGTGCTTGAGATATGGCATATCCCTCAGATCTGAGCTGCAAAGGCTTCTGGGAACTTCTCATGCCTCAAAGAAAGGAGTTGGAATGAAGTTTATTTTCATGTTCCTTTTTCTGTGTCCTAAGGCCTTTGTCACAAGTTTGCTAATTGTGTTCCATGAGCAGCAATTCACAGAAAGTGCTGTCTGTGTGCAACGCAACTGAATTCAAATAGACTAAAACCACTTAAGTTTGTTAAAAGAAGGACTGACAGTGGTGTCAGAGGTTCAATAAATACCTGAAAGTTATGTTACACGCAGTAGCCCAGTTTTGCTTTAGACCATTGCTTTCTCTGGTAACATGAGAGACTTAGGATACTCCCTGCAATGTCCCTGCAGGATTAAAAGCTGTAGCATTGAAAATGCAGAACCGAGCCTTGAGCCCTGTGTCTACCCTTGGACAATGAGCTGGTTTTTTTGGGGCAGCCTTCTCTCAAGATTTCGGAGCATTCAGTCTCAGTCCTGCTCATTTAATTAGCTAGTAGAGATGCAAAGCCTACTCTTAAGGTCTTCAGTTCCCTTCCCTGTCACCCATGTAAATATCATACCATACCATTTTGAATGTGTCTTTGGAGCAGGGACTCAGTTACCTAACCAGCAGCTAGGATTACACGCTTTAATTCTCATAGTGGCTACTGGGAGTTACCACACTAAGGGGAATTATTTTTTCCATTGTTGCTCTCATTCCTTTCTGTTTAATGACCCATCCTTCAGCCCCATTTGCTTCTGAGCAAGTTCCAGCTGTACATTTGTCCCCTGTGCTGGCCCCTCTGGGATCCTCTCTTGCAAGCAGAAGGGATGTTGGTGTGGCAGGGCTGGGAGGGCTTGGGCAACAGCTGGGCCCACGGGTCAGCTGTTCTCCAGGGGCAGAAAACCCTGAGCCTCTACAGCGCGAGCAGTAGCTCAGGCAGGTGTATTACCTGAGAGGGGTGAGCACACCCAGCAGACCCACGAGCTTCCATACATGGTGTCTCCATCAGAGAGAGACAAAGACTTGGCATTGCATTAGTGGGTGGCCCATTCCCATCAGCTAATGGAAGTCTAATTTCTCATCGCCCCACAAATTCCTCATAGCTGATTCGCCACTTGAATTAAACCATGATTATATATTATCAGCAGTCATTTCATAGTAAGGTTGAAGGATCAAATGCAGTTAGCAGTGATGAATTCCAGATGTGCAGGACAGAAGCCTGAAGAGAAGGCCAGTTTCTGAGTAACTACAAGATAGAGTAATGTATTCTAAATATTTGATTCAATTAAGCTGCCTTCTGCTCTTTGTTTCCGCTTACAGATGGCTCATCAATCTATAGTTCAGGGACACATTGCTATTCTTTCTAATGGTAATTAGGTGATCAGGATGGAGACAGGTTTGATGAAATACTCACATTATGATCTGCATATTTAAAGTGGAACAGAGCCCAAAGCAGAAGCAAAATGATAGCTGGCTGCTGCACATGGCTTTAGCCTCAGGCACTTGATAGGTCTTCCTCTAGCATAGGTAATGGGGACTTTGCTAGTTCCCACCACAGAATGAATAGTTATTTTTTAATCATTCAACTATGAGTGTCTGTATCTGGTTTTGAATGTTGCTAAACTCTAGTTTCTTGCAAAAATACTCATGATGCTTGTCCATTTTTGGTTCAGCTTCACTTGGAGGGTTCTTGCAACCTGGAAAGTAGTAGTAAAACAGTTGCAGAGTCTGTGACTGATCTCCCAATGACTTCTCCATGTTTGGGAAAGGCCACCGTGGTACTTTTGGGGCAGGGTATGTATTCTTAACAGTTTCTAGCTTGCTCATGTTTATCAGCCTCTAGCTTCTGAAAGCAGGAAATTTCAGAAGATACCCCTGCTGTTAAAGTGTCCCATTTTGTGTTTTTAACCCTTAGGATTCTTTTGGTATCTACTGACAAAATAAAACTGTAAAGTAGAACATGGTCAGAAGCTCTGTATGCAAATGTGTTTCTTTTAACCACCACAGAATGAATAGTTATTTTTTAATCATTCAACTATGAGTGTCTGTATCTGGTTTTGAATGTTGCTAAACTCTAGTTTCTTGCAAAAATACTCATGATGCTTGTCCATTTTTGGTTCAGCTTCACTTGGAGGGTTCTTGCAACCTGGAAAGTAGTAGTAAAACAGTTGCAGAGTCTGTGACTGATCTCCCAATGACTTCTCCATGTTTGGGAAAGGCCACCGTGGTACTTTTGGGGCAGGGTATGTATTCTTAACAGTTTCTAGCTTGCTCATGTTTATCAGCCTCTAGCTTCTGAAAGCAGGAAATTTCAGAAGATACCCCTGCTGTTAAAGTGTCCCATTTTGTGTTTTTAACCCTTAGGATTCTTTTGGTATCTACTGACAAAATAAAACTGTAAAGTAGAACATGGTCAGAAGCTCTGTATGCAAATCTGTAACTCCTTTAGCCACTCCATCTGAGAGCTGTTATAGCCACTAAGAATTTAATAAGGTGTCATTTCTTTTATGCAGAGAAGAAATTTGAGGAGTGCAGAGGTTTGAAGCTCTGAGGGCAAATCTGTACTCAGAAAAATAAATTGGGCAAACCATGCCCTATTTAAATTCTCATTTAAGGGCAACACACACCTTGTCCTGGCCTTCTCCCAGACATGGATTTTGCAGTCACTCCTCAATTAAGCAGATCCTGATATGCTTTGCTGAATCAGGGTTTTAAGCGGAAGTGACAGAAATAGAATTGAGATCTTTTCAGTCATAACCCTGCTCTGAAGCCATCAGGCAATGCTTCCTTCCTTCATTGCTCTCCACCGCAGTGGGAGCAATGCTATGGGGAGTGTCTGAGACAGGCAAGAGCCATGCTCTGAACTTCTGCCCCTTACCAGAACCCAAGCCACCCAGCTGAAATTTCAAAAATATAAGCCAAGTATACAGTCTTCAACATTCTGAGACTTGAAATTTTTGTCCCCCAGTGCCTCAAGTCATTCAACTGTTTAAGCAAATGGATTAAGTATTCTCCTAGTTCTGATACAGCTTCCCTTCAGGATGTCAACAAAACCGAACATCTCTTTCCTCTACACATATGATACCCAGTGTTATCAGTCCCCCAAAAAAGTTACCAGTGAAGCTTTTGCCTGTAAAATCCTGTTTCAGTTCCTTATTTAATCAATTTTTATCTGTACTGAAGAATTGCGGGCTGAAATTTTGTTACATGCTGCCTAGGGCAGGGAATCTCTGTTTGCAGTAACAGTTTGAATAGCCAGTTCACAGAAATATTGCATCCTCATACAATCACAATCCTTCCGTAGGCTTGCCACCAATACTCTGTGCTTGCATTTTTCTAGGAAACAAGCATTTAGCAAGTTGCTTCTTTGAGGTGGCAAGGGGGAGGGATGCAGGAAAGAGGGAGAATTGTTTTGGTTTACTTCTTGCCCACTTGCTTTTCCTCATACTGACTTAAAAAAATCTATCTGCGCTGTTACCTAGGTTAAAGAAATCCAGTTGTGCAAAAAAGTTTTAGAGAATAAAGACATTGTATTGTGAATACGGTTTGTCCTCTGGCAAGCTTTTAAAAGCATTTTTTTTTTCAGATGATGTCTTTTTGAGGCTTGTTCTGTAGTACCCTTCAAAGATAAGGAATGACTTAGAATATTTTTAGTCTGAGAAGGCTAGCAATCTTCTTGATGTCATTTCATTAAAAATCCATTTTTCTATTATGGCTATAAACACTAGTAAACTGCACTTCTTTTCCTTTTGGTGGTACTGACCGATTATTCCGCCGCTCAAGAGGCTCTTCTAGGACAGAAAATCACTTTGTTGCATTGAGGCACTTGGACAATCTATAGAGGGGGATTTTTTCAACCACTGTCTTACAAGGACAATTTCACATAAGTTTATTTCCTTTATTACAATTGAAGTAAGATACCATAGTAGATCTCATAATAAATCTCTCTTCTCTACTTAGCTGCCCTTAGGATCCAGCTGCTCCTGAAGTCTACTTTCCCAGGCTATGCTATCCAGTGGAGTTATAAGTTAAATTGAATTTTTGATACTGTTCCATCTCAATTTTTCCTGATGATTTGATTGATATTTCTCATCTGCTGGGCTTCCTCGAGTTACAACTTGAATGCTAATGTGACTCCATCTCCCACTGGGAGCATGCTGATATTGACACGTGCATCTCTGAGAAGCTTCTCATTGAGGCGGTGGATGCTCTGCGCTGCCAAGTCATCCTTCCTTGGTTTTAGCACCTTTCCATTCCAAAAGACCTATTAAAAAAAGAAATATGATGCACATCCTTTGTTCTAATATGGTCCTTGGACAACAAAGGAAGCTTTGGAAAAGTTCCTGCGTATTTCTTAGACATAGATATTATTTGTTATATTTCAGACGTATAATAGTCTCTGACATGGAACTCTCAAAAGTAAGTGGGATTGAGAGTCCACCGAACTTGCTAATTGTACTTCTACTATAGATTTGAAGCCAAAACAAAAAAAAATGTATTTAAATATAGGTTTTTTTAAGAGCCCTATTTGGCTGCCACCATAACCCCAAAGGTGCCTGAAGTTTAATATCCTTTGTTTCTTGTAAAAGTAGTTAATTGATAACTTATTAATAGTTACTGATTACAAGTGCTACTTTTGATCTTGTGTAAGTACTGTACATACTATAAATGCACTACAAGACAAACGAGAATAATACAGAGCATTCTCTGTAATGAATAACAAAAAAATTCTATGTTTTCTATTAGTGTTTTATATAGCTTAATTAAAGAGTTTATGTTGAATTTTCTTTTTGATTGTGCTATGTGTAACTGCCTGTGCATTACCATCAGAACTGCAGTACTTACATTATCGATAGCTATTATTCCCCCTTTCTTTATGAGGCGCAAGCATTTTTCATAGTACTCATTGTAGCTTTCTTTATCGGCATCAATGAAAGCAAAGTCAAAGGTTTCCACTTCTCCATTGGCCAACAGTTCATCTAGATGAGCAACACAGTGAGCTGTTATATCCTGGTTAGTGCTGTGTAGGAGGAAGTAATTCATTTGTGTCAAAGCTCTCATTAAATGTTTTCTGCTGCCTTCACCAGGCAGCCTGTTCCTCCACAGGTAATTACTAGAAAAGCTTATCCCACAGAAACCAATCTAGACATTATGTATGCCATAAAACACGCAGTTACTGAGGTCTGCATGCTTAGGAGTTTGTGGAATAGCTCCAAACCTGAAGGATACAGCTGGGACTGCTGAAAGGTACAGCAAAAACAAGTCAAGCACTTTGAAACTGGACATACTCTACACCTTCAGCTTTTTTTTTCAGCTGAGAACTGTTTTCTGGAGTGGATTAGAATTTTTCTCACTTTATGAAAAGGTTCTAAATGCTAATCTCTCCTTGGAGATCAAGTGCCATGATACAGGTCATGAACAAACCCTGTCAGAGATATTTGCAGCAAATAACTACTGTAAGTAGTTCCTCTCTGAGCCAAGGCAAGTAGAATTCAGTTTTAAGTTCTCCTAGACAGATTTCTTGACTGAGAATTCCAAATTGCCAGTTTCAGAGGAGGTGATTTCTGTCTCCTAAGGTCCTCTGCCACCGCTTTAACCTGCCCTTAGCTGTCAGCAGATCTTTTTGTCTGAACCAATGCCTGGACAAAGCTTTGCTTTGATAGACTTCAAGGAGTGTGCATACCAGCAAACTGCTTATATTTGCCTCTTTAGAAAGGATGGATTTGAAAGCAATACAAGGTTATTTGGTGGATCTGGGGATCCACCAAATACCTTTGCTGGAAACCTTCTGCATCCAACAATCCTAGAAAATGTCTTGCATTTTCAAAACATTTATTAGTATTTCCTCTGCCCCATATTTTCTCTTTCCTTGAATGAGATAAGTCATTGCCTCACTAATGGCCTTGCATGCTTTTGGAACATCCTAAATTTGAACTTCTCTGAACACAATTCAGCCTAAGTTATATACTGGCTTCTGAATTTTTTTTGCACCTCAGCCCTTTCAGGGTACTCTTCCTCTCTTAACAGAGGAATACTTGCTCAGAATGGACAATGCTAAGAGAAATTTGGCTTTGATTAATCTGTTTTCATCAGCTTTCCAAAAGCAGCTGACAATAGTATTTGATAAATTAAACGAAGTGATGGACAGGGCAGGCGAGTGACCAGTACAGCCCACAACACAGGACAAGCATTTTCTTCCTCTCTACTAGTAGGTAGCAAATCTGTGAACTCCTAGATTCTTACTTTTTAATATAAGAGAAGCTGCCTCCCTCTTAGCAAAAGGGATCACATTCAGAACCATATTTGGTCTTAAATTTCATCACTATTGTATCCCTCTTCTATTTCTAGGGAAGGGGAAACAATCTGTTATTTCAGGATACTTACCAAGTGTTTGAATTGCTGGCTTAATCCGCAAGTCAATTTTATGCTCTACTCCTGCCTAAGATGAAAAAGAACAAAAGTGTTGATAAAAATGGTCAAGAAATAACCTGTTAGTATGCTGTATTCAGGGAGTGACTGGGGTTCAGATAGTTTTCCTATTATTTCTAGGTGCCAAACACCACTTATTTTTCTTCCCAAACAGAACTCTGTCAGCCTCCTTTAATGCTAAAAATATTTCTGTGCGAATTTGCAAGTCTAAAATAACAAAATCTCTTCACATGTAAAGGCACTTGTCCCCACTGTGTACAGGAGAAGCTGCTTACCTCCTTCCACAGTGGCCTTCCAATTTTGGCATAGTCCTCATTTACATCACAGGCAATAACTTGGCCATTATCTGGCAGGACAAGTGCCATACTCAAGGCATTATAACCTGTGAACACACCTAGGAAAATCATAAGAGACATCAACACTTCTTGTATTGTGGAAAAAGGGTTACAGGGCTCTCTTTAGGAATAAGAACCCCAAAGGAATCAAGGAGGGCAATTTGTTAATAGACAGTAAATATTTTTCATTCTTTCTTCCATTTTAATATAATAGTAGGTTGAGAAGTTTTTTTTTTTTTTTAGCAAACTTAAATGTTAGCTTTTTCCAAAAGGCTCATAGACAAACAAGGCAGAGTCTGGTCTTGAATGTGTAACTCAGAGAGACTGGATGAGCAGCAATATACCAGGGAATTGTAACAGCCAGGCCAAGAATGAAGATGGTGGGAACTCATACCTGGCTGCTCAGCATCAGCCTGTCTTTTAGGACATCCTGGTAATATAGGTGTGTCAAGCAAAGTGGATTTGATACAGGGCCTGTGCAGCAAAATATCGTCTTCTAGCAAGGTGATAGAGGAAGGACAGAATATATACTCTGTCCTGCAACTGTTGAAGACTCAAGAGATCTGTTTAGCTCACTTTTTCAGATTGCCTCAGAATGGATGAGCCATCCGTGCTGATGCCAGAACTACTTAATGCAGTTAGACAAAGTGGCAACCAAGTGTAAATCAGACACTCCTTTTCATGCTGTAGTTTGCCCACCTGTTTTTTAACAGTTATGCAGTACCTTCCTGTATTTGGATATTTTATATTAAACATGGCTGTATTTTGGGAATGATAGTCAAGAGTTTTATTTTACTACGAAGTGACACTCTTACCTATTTCAATAACTTTCTTGGCTTTAATGAGTTTGAGCAAATTTGCCATAAGCTGAGCCTGCTCACAGGACACCATCATTCTGCCCCGGGGATGATCAGCAGTGAGCTAGGAAAGGGGAAAAAACCAAAACCATGTCACATCAAACAAAAACCAAATCTATCAAACCAATATCCTAAAGAAAAAATCCCAGTGAAACTCCAGGAAAAACAGACACCTCTGTCTTCTCATTCTAGATTACTCTGTGAATGGAGCTAGATGGAGCCATCTATGAGCCATAAATTGGCTTGAATTTGACTATAAGTAAGGAGGATGTTAAGTGTGTCATAAGCAGAGGATATTCAAAGCAGTAATATGCTCCAAAATTACTATGGCTGTGGCAAACCCAGCAATCTTTGTAACTAAACAAAGAATCATAGGCGAACTTTCACTGTAAAAGTCCTTTATTTCTGTGCATTTGCACAAACAGATACACTTGCTTTAAGATGTGTAGAATGCTTTAATGAACTGCTAGGTTCTTGTCTGCCAAAGGTCAGACCACGTAGTCCAGGCCACACAGTGCAAACCTGGAGAATCTGTGCCCATCCCAGGGTGGAAGGGCTCTTGGTACTAAGGAATGGGGCAATGGGAGAAGCAGGGCTGTGCCATGACAGCTGAAGAGAAAGTATATCTTCCTATTTCCTTTCTTCTCCTTTCTAGGGATCATTCCAATCAACCTGTTCCAGCAGTTAGCATTTGATTTCTTTTATACAAGAACAGTCTGTCTCACCTGAAATGACTCAAATCTGAGTCAGGATGTCTGGTCTCATTTCTGACACTGGAGCCTGATGGAAGACATCACCTCTCTGAGCTACAGGTTCCTTATATGCCAACCAAAGTGAACAGAAGTAATTTTTTCAAGTCCAAATCAAGTGCAGCCCTAACACATGGCCTTGGAGCCGAGGATAGAAAGACATGTCTAAAATATATGCCAATACTATTAAATAGTCATGTAGGTAGCCCTGAACATAGAAGTCTGGGTATTACCAGTTTAAAAAACCCCTCTAGTGGGTATGCAAGTAAGATGGAGCAAGGAAATGTGACCAGGATGCCAGCAGTTCAGGAGGAGGTGTGGGCGATACTGACCAGACGCAGCTTCTTTAGAATTGGATGTTCCCGCAAGGAGTGATCCAGTATGTACTGCCGGAGAGGACTATTCTTCCCCATCATACCACTCGGGGTCCCAAAAATGAAAGAAGGGTATCTTTTACCTATCAAACAATAAGTAATAAGAACTTTTATACTTTTCAGTTATTGCCATTTTAAATAAAGTGAACACTGAAGTATTACTAAAGGTTGAAAAGTTCTCCTCTGTAAAACAGCCATGAAAATGGAAAATGCAACATAGCTGGACAAGCAGGTGGACTGTAATTTTTTTCCCCTTCTCCTTTTTAGCCTCTAAGATGTCCAGTCCAGGCCTCGAAAGGCTGAAAGGGGAAGGCTTCAGAACTGTATTGTTCAGTGGCCAATGTGATGGTTACACACTGCCATAAACTTACAGGAAAAGTAACCCCATCAAAACTCAAAGGGCAAGTTTAAAGAGATACATGAATGACATGCACAATTTTCTCAGTCTGTGCTCCTTCTTTTGCAGATGAACACACGCCACCAGGTTTTAGCCCCATCAGCTGATGGTTCTTCTCAAACCCTGTGCTCTCCTCATGACACTGTCCTACCCTCCAGCCAGGGGAAACGTGGTATTGCAAAATGCCTTGTTTAGTGTGAAACCAGTAAGCAGACAAAGTAAGAGCTGAAAGTTGAAGTTTTAGTACATGTCTATTTAAATACAGGACTGAATGCAGCTTTCATGCCCAATGTTTCTTTTACCAAACAGATTAACTATTTTGAAGAAATAACAACAAATTCATTTCCACATCTCCTGGTAGTTGTTTGCTACGACAGAACACTTTTATTTCGAGGGGTTTATTTTCTGTTAATGATTCTACTTTACAGACGATCACGCCAAGATATAGATTATTTCAACAACTTGCCTTAAATCAAAGATTAAGCAAGTGCCCGCGTTACAAACCCAACACCAGTCTTCTTCCCCTCCTGGATCATGGGCTCGTTCCGTTCTTCCCGGGGAATGAAAGCGAAACTGCTACCAGAACAATGCCGTGCCCAAGGACCACACCCCGGCCCTTCCGGGCTGGCCAAACGAATGCAGGCGGGGGACCGGGCGGGGAGCGTGTCCTCGCTTTTACCGGACCTTGGCCCGGCCCCACACTGCCGGATTACAGGGAGCGGCTTGGACTCTTAAGAACATCATTTTATTTACTGCAGCAGCTCAGCAAAATAAATCTCTGCCCGCAGAGCAGCCCCAAGGGGTCTGCTCCCCGACGGGCCGCCAGGCTGCACCCGGGACTCCTGCCCGCCCTGGGAGGGACCTGCCGGGCGCCGGTGGGGACACGAGGAAGGCGCAGCCTTCACGTCTCCGTGTATGTGGCAGGGCTTGGGGGGGCGCCGCTTACCTGCAAGCATACCCGTGGCAAAGGCGACCCCCAGCATCGCCGTCCCGACGGCCACTTCTTTGGGCACGCTGAGAAGCGGCATTTTGGAGCCGGGAGCGAGGGCAGCGGCGCCGCCGGGTCACGCGCGGCGCTGGGCGGTGCGGCGCGCTCCGCCTGCCCGGGAGGGCGGGGCCGCGCTGCCCGTGGTGGCGGCCCGGCGGCTTCCCTTCGTCTTGGTGGCTCCTGGGGTCCCGATTCCAGGCGTGCCGGATGCTGGGCTCGGCTCGGGCGGCCAGAGGGTGGGTCCCCCGCGGGAGGTGTGCGCCTTTCTCTCTGCGCCTTTCTCTCAGTGACGTACTCGGTTGTGGTGCGTAAAGTGACAAAGACAGCACCCGGGGTTAGTGCCACCACCTCCTCAGAGGCTTGTTCTGGTACAGCTTCACTGTAGTCTTCGTTTTAAAACACACCCAAATGTCGTGTGCTCGTAATGGGCTCTCGTGGAGGAGCTTTTCACAGAGATATGCTCGTAAGAGGCTTGGTACTCCAACTAGCCCGGGGAGAGAGCTCTCTCCTTCCCCTAGAACACAGCTTTCTTTGCAGCTGAGGTGTGAGCAATTACTTGCCAAAAACGTATAAGATATTTGGAATTTCAGTCTTGTGACCTGTGAGTGTCCAGATGAAAGGAGTCAAGGAGGATTCTCCAAGAGAGGGGGAATGGGGCCTGTTTTCCTCCACTGCTGTTTCAGCCCCCTTCTGCGGTATCTTCCAGGTGAGGTGGAGCAGTGCCCTTGCCACTGCTTAACAGCCTTGTTGAGGGATCTCCTCCCTGGCCGGATCTGTTGCTGAGGGAGTTGGATTATAAATCAACAAGTGATTGTGTAATCTTTTTTATGTCAGCCTAACCTTTTTTGTGCTTCTGTGCCTTTTGGAGATGGGCTGGGACTTCGGTTTTCATTTTGTGAAGTATTGGTAATATCTGGGTTTTGGAGAACACAAGCAAAATATGGAAATCTATCATTTTGACATTCTGTGGGAGATGAAATTAGTGCCATTTCACACAGACTAGGAATACATAGGAATGGATTGGGTTGCAACTTGGCCTCCACAGATGTAGGATAAAGCTGGTAAAAATTCCATTTTGGCACATAGTCTATCTTCAGAAAGACAGATGAATTGTGTGTTGGTAGGTTTGGATGAAAACATTTCAACTGTTTCCCTCTGCTAACAAAACAAATGTCAGTGCAGTTAGAAGAAAAAGATGCTTTTTAAAGTACATCTTAAGTGTGGGATTAAGTATATCACCAGGGTATTTATGGGAAATGTGTTTGCCTATCACTGCCTTTTTACTGTGTTAGAGCTTATTTACAAAGACTTGCCCCCAGAGCTCTTGTATTTCTTTTGCAGCAACTAATCATGCCACTCACTAGGGAGTCTGCTGTGATTTCTGATTTGCAGAACAAAGTAAGACATATGATCTGTCTTGGCAGATAAAATAACTTCCAGTTCACTTCTAAAATTTATTTCATTTTGAAAGCTGTGAGTGTTGTTGGTTTCATGGTGGCTTTTTTCATTCAGTATCTTGTCACTTTCTCTGTGTACATTTTGCGTTTGTAAATGAGAGCATTTCATCCCGTCTTTCAGAAGATGAGTTATCAGCATGTGCTGCAACATGTCAGTTTTAGGCCGAACAGCTGTAGGAGGAAACAATTCTTGCAGCGGCCATAAATCAGATTTGTGACGGTGCGGCTCCATCTAGTGATTCTTCTCTACAACTGCAGCATAAGGGAGAGGAGCTGTGGGTTACTCTGTTCAATGAAACGCAGTGTGCAAGCTTCCAGTGTTGTGCTGATCTCTCAGCTCGAAGAGATGACCCATTTGGATATCTCTGGGAACGTCAAGTTTCTGAAAGCTCCAAGGGAATTGGTGAACTGAATTGCTAATATACTTGAATGTGTTTCTGAAATTCCTCCCACCCCCAAGCTTTAATCCGTAATAGTTTACCTTTGCTGGAAGTGTCAGGTGTTTTACTGTACTGGACAAGAGGTTATTTCCTTTAGATAAGGAAGTCGATTTTCAGATATCTAAGATATAATGAAAAGCTTTCATGAGAGAGTCAGAAGGGTTATAATCTTCCAGCTGGATAGAATGGAGCCATCAGCTTTTCTTTGAGCCATTTCCATTTTCAGTTTACTTAACTGTATGATATATATGGAACAGAAAACTTTGATTAACAGATTTATTAGACGTATGCTTACAGTGTGCTGTGGCTGCCTGAGCATTTAAACATTTTGGTAGATTTCTGCCTACTCCTTGTGCTAAGTAAGGGGAAGGCTACCTAGAGATTAAAAACCGAGTATAATATGGGCTTGGATACAAACCCCACTGCTCCCTAAATCTGTAAGGTCAGTCCGGTTGCACAGATTTCATGGGAGTTCAGGATTGCTCCCAGTGCTGTAGTCAGGAGGCATATTTTCCATGCCTGAAAGTGCCTTGTCTCTTGGACTGCATTCTAGGAAGGGTAGGAGGGCTTTGGCAGCATATTCAGGCTGGAGCCAGAACACGATTGCATTTGTAAAACATATGGAGTAGGACAGACAGGATAGGGGCTGACCTCAGGGTGTACAAATGCTCACTTTATTCATATTGATAATCTATTCAAGGTTTTACAGACACTGGGTAATTGATATATGCAATAGACTGTTCTCCTGGAACCTTCTTTCCAGGAGTGTTTTTCTGTGTGAGAATGTTGCACACCATCTGCCTCGGTGTCATCTGTGTAGACTTATTGTGGAAATGGGACTGGCAGGGAGTTAGCCTACTGATAAGGCTGTCATCTCACTTCTGGGTTTCTGCCTTTCATTTGCAACTATTTTTACATGGACCAGTTGTACCTGGTAACTGAGGCACCACTGTAAAATGCTAAATGACTTGCCTTGGGTATAGAAAGTTTTTCCTTTCACTGTCCTCATAATTTACTTTTTTTTCTGTTGTTGTTTTTATTTCCCTCTTCACTCTTCCATGTGTCAGCTACCTGAACTCAACCTGTTCTGGTAGGCTGTGCCTTCCAGGTCACTGGTGATGTTCTGTGGCCTGCTCCAAGGTGGTGGTAAAGAGTAGTGAGCATCTTGATTGTCTTTCTGCTGCACTAAAAAGAAGTAAAATCTATGTGTGTTTCAGCCTCTGTCCAGCATGAACATCTGAGAATAGATGACTCTTTTTAAAATCATACTCGCTCTGTGGTGGAAAGTCACTGTGTATCACAGGTATCCCAAAGGAAGTATGTACAGGCATGTTTGAACAGCTCAACTCACTGGAAATAAGCCCTACACGTATAGTTGCCCTATACATTTGTTGAAGCTATATTGGCTTATGACATTGGAAAGCATTCAGTTGAGTTGCATGTGGTGTCGGCTTCATTCAGGCTGCAGTGGTGTGGCTTCAAGCATAATTTAAATGTTGCTTACTTAAAATCTTAGTTATCTGCACACTGTTCTCTGTTTACAGTGAGGGTAGCAGTTACACAGTCCTCTAAATCATGTCAAAGTGTTGAAAAGCAAGTGTAAATGCTACATGTATTTAGTTTAGTGAGTAAAGTGGAAAAAATGTTTGATGCTTGCGTACAGTTGAAAGAGAAGCCAGCTGTCTTTGTCCCCAGAAGCTTACAATGTGAATGTAAAACCATGGTCATGGGCAGGAAGTGTAGGGAATTGGATTGTACTGAGCTGTGTGTTTGGCAGTAGCCTAACTCAAATTTCTTAAGAGAAATCAGAGCAAAGTTTAAAGGATTGATCAGGAGGAAGGAGAATGAAGTTTGGAGCTGTTTAAAGTATGAGTGCAGTATGAGTAAAAGCCCAAAAACAAAGAGAAACCAAAGAAGAATGCATTAATGCATTCCTATGGTCAGGTTAATTGCTGAAAATGCTGATTGGGTTGAAATTCTGGGTGAATGGGGTTTGATGAGATGAGAGCTGGAGGAAGAAGTTGTAGTAAGCAAGGTAATGAAACCTGAGACAAACCTTTTAAATGTGAAGATGAAAATAGAATCTTGAAAATATGTCAGAATATTTCTGCTTGTTTACGCATAGCTGAGAGTGAGGGTTGGAGTGAAATGAGGGTTGATAATGAAGAATTACAGGTTGAGTGACAGGCAAAATAGTAATTTTTATCTATATTGATGGTGCAAAAAGTTTGTAGAGCTGAGGCTGACCTGATCTTAGCCATCCTCAGAGAAATGTTTGATACAGATTGGGATTTTAACCTGGTTTAAGAAGATAGGAGGGAAGAGGCATATTTGCAAGTTGTCTGCACGGACACTGTGGATGAATACGTGCATAGGTTGGGCCAGATACTCAGAAAAGACATCAGGCCATGAATTCCTTACTTTTTAAGATATTTACAAATAAGCAGACCAATAAGCATTCAATTGTATTTTTTGAAATATCTTTTTATAAAAAATTGAAACAGAACTTATTTACCATATTTGTGTGTTCATTCATCTGTCTTGGGCATTGTACATGAAAAATGTGTATATTTTATAATTTTACAGTCCATAGTGTATATCCCCTTGCAAGGTCTAGATAAATCACTGGGTGGTATATTTTAGAGGACTGTATGTGAAATTATTATTTTATTCACAATTGAGATTTCTTAGTTCTTCTAATTGGTTTTGCTATGTATTTGTCTGTTCCATCACTGTTATCTTTCTAGTATTATGCTTAACATTTAATTTTGCAGTTCTGTAAAGCAGGGTATACCATTTACCAGCATAACCTACTTGACCTCAGAGATCCTAATTCCAGACGTATTTGTTATAGCAATTTTTTTCCCCATAAATGTTCATTCATCTTCTCAGCTGAAAATCTTGGAATTTTTAGAATGGTACCTTTTCTAACAAAAAAAAAATTGTGATAAATGAAAATGCTCTCCAATTTTTTTTTCTTTTTGTTGAATTCAGTAATTTGAAATATGACTAATAGTTTCCCAAATACTCCTCATTGCTTCTAAAGTCATCTGGATTTTTTATCAGATGAACTGTAAGTAGCAAAGCTTCCTTTAATGTGATTCATTGTCCAGCTGGAGGGTAATCACCGAAATGGAACACAGACATGAACAATGACTTTAACTAAGTTGGTTCAGTTACTTTCATCCTGCTCAGCTA